ANTTGGTGTCACANACCGAGATTGTAACACAAGAATTAAACGGGATTCTTTCCTCTAAAGTAGACTTAACTATCTAAGCAACTAACTCTAAGCACTCTTTAATCAACCAAACTTAGATTCGAGTCTTAGACGATAGATTACTCACGTTAAGGATCAAAACTTTATTCTAGAAGCTATTTTATTAAAATGTCCGATTCTCATTAATATGAACTCAAAACTTACTAATCTGGCCTAATTCATAAATCAAAGATGCGATGCTATAGTATGAATAGATTCTACTCTTTACTTCATTATAAGATATACAAATCCTACAGTATGCCATTAATGATTAGTTGTTTTAAATGTTATTCAGCCAATTAACCGGCGCTTGAGCAAGGCAACTATAAGTAATCCGACTTAATTATCTCTAAGTCACGGATGTCATAAAAGCAGCATCGAATAGCCTTAGTACCGTAACAAGTTTACTTTATTTTGTGCTTACATAATTAATTACATGAAGATATGTTTAGCAAATGAAACTGAAATTTAAGCAAAATGAATCAAGATATTAATTTTGCTTACGGATAATCAATAATATGAAGAAGAATCATTGGCTGATTTTTAATTATGAAGTACTTTCAGCAAAATTCAAGTTCGTTCGCAAGTTTCGTTTTAAAATTGTCATGATAATGCGACGTAAAGCACTACCTGGCGTGAAATAGCAGTTCTGCTTAATAAAGCAACTTTAGATGAAACCTGGCATGACAAAATAGTGTACTTGTATTATTCTTTCAGTATACGTAAAAGATTGCAGCTTATAATCCCTATAAAGCTGTGTTGTTAAGTAGTCTATCCATGTGATTGTAAATATTTCTGCAACTACTCAAATAATGCGCGTTGATAGTTCTACAGCAATATGAAGTAAGTAGTGTATGATCTAGATTAGTCTGTTATGTTTAATAGAGTACGGCAATTATAGATGATTGCTGGTATGATGGAAAAGGCTTAAAAAATCCATTCACTACAATAGTTTTAGCTCCTGAGCAAATATTGCTTAGGAGTATTTGACTGTGTTATTCAACTCATGCAAATGTATGAGTAACTTGTATAAAAATATAATCAAATATTCCTTTACAATTCTCTTGATTAATCATGCGACGATATATCGGCATAAGCATTCATTGATTAAATAGAAGTGAGGCTTCCAATCTTCTAGGAGATGGAGCGTTTCGCTAGTATTATTGAAATCATTTTGAGCTAGCGCCATTTAAAGCTAAGCATAATAAGATTATAATCGATCCGAACTTCCTTTTCAACTCCTGCTAAGATTTATGATACACTGCGATAATATTGCTATCGGCAATTAAGAATCTATTTTAATTAGCGACAGATTGCATACGTAATAATATAAGTAAAATACATACGTTCAATAATTCAATTAATTGGAAAGCTTTAACATCAGGCATAAAGCATTTCTATCTTGTTAACGTTAGTAATTGATAATAGAAAAGCTATACAAAAGTATATTTATCAGAAATAAGTCTCATTATGCTCATAAAGATCATACACAGTATTTAAGCCTGTTCAGCACCCTGACCATTACTTACTTGTATTAACGTAGAAAGGCTCGAAAATTCGCGTTGATTGCAATCCGTAGTCTGAACATAGGGTTAACTAAGTTGTGTTTTGAACGCAAGTGACGGAAGTATTTTATAACTATCTAATTGTATAAAAAGTGCTCATTAGCTCACTAAAAGTCATGAATTGCTTGGTAAAATTCAAGATCGAATCCGTAACTGTTGTAATAATTGCGATACTAATTGTACCAGGTATGACGATATTACATTGTGCTTAGAAGTGGAAATACTTTTGCGATATGGTAGACCGTTGACCTATTCAATTTAGAATGGTCAATATTAGATTTTTGTGTATGGATTGCGAGTTTCAAAAGAAGTCTTAAAACATACCCTAACTTATCAGATTTTAAAGATTTGGAGAACTAAGGCACCTTAGCAAGTGATATGTTTTTCATAGCAAATATCTAAAGGTTTAAACTACAGTATTCGTCAACTACGACGATTTAATCATTTCAAATATAGCACATATGTCTTCGTTATAATTTTGTGTAAGTGCAATCTTTAAGAATGATTTAAGAATACGAGTAAGCATGATTCGATACATGCCAAGCTACTGATCATCGGCCAGGAAAGAATCAATTGGCTATTCTAACGGATATTTACTATTGTAGATATTTATTGTCAAGATTGCTTTCCCAAATCGGAGAATTGCACAGAAATAATCGCTGGTACTTGCTTTCGTGGATCTGTTTCACCTTTTGAATCTTTACCGATTGTGATAGAAAAGTCTTGCTCTTCTTTGCAAAATTTTGCTAGCATCAGTCAAGGTAAACTGATAGACCATACGTCCTAAAAATCGAATTCAGTAAAAATGGAGAAACCGTGATAGTCTATAAAAATGATCAGAGAAAACTCGTAATAGTACTATTTTCGGTTACCTAAGACTATTATATCAGATTAGCTAAGCCAATATACTGACAATATCTACGTATAATATTCAATTAAATCTTTGCTTCTTCATACCAAATCTATGATTGTGCATATTAGTTGTTGAAAGGTCATATTGTTTAGAGTTGTGATAGTTAGATCTGCAATATGACAATTTTTAAACTTTAAAAATTGTTTTTCCGGTATGATTGAAGACATCGAAGGAATAGCAAGTGTTTATTGCAAAGAAAATTATCAAATTTCTCAAAATGATCTCGATCTTTGCGATTGCCGAAACTCAAATGCTACTAGATCTGTTTATAATATCCAGGTACTAAAATGATTTTATGAAAGAGTCATAACTTAGATCTATGGTTACAGAATGATCTATGGTTCAGAATCTAGTAAAAAGATGATAATATCTTCAAATTGACTTTGCCGATATTTTGTAACACTTTTCACAAGTATTCTTTCACATAAATTCATACTTACTTATTTAGGATATGCCGGATGTAGGTTCAGCAGCTGCAGTGGCTGATGAACTGCGTAAATTGCATGCATCCATCTTTCAATTCATTGATCATCTTCCATTACTCGGCTTCAGCTTGAAAATCAACATGAGTCAATTGGCAGTTGGTCTGCAAGCGGCCTCTGATAAACTAACTAGTGTTTCCGATGAAGATCCAAGGAAATTATTAGCTTTCAGTGTAAGAATTATTAATTAAACGCTTAGATAATCAGCTTGGATTTTAGCATTTAATTTTTCTGGTAATATTCAGCAAGTTCGTTCTTACAGTTGTCATTCTAATTAGTCTGAAATTTAAGTGCCCTATTCAGCTTAATGTGTATTGGGTATGTTTCCAACTTAATAATATCTAATGATATAATATTGCTAACAGTGTGTTATAGAAATCATACGAAAGGTGTCCTCTTACATATCCTGTAATCAAACGGTTAGATTTAAATTTTGATGAAATTTTTCGCTATTCAGCTATGGATTGTCGTTGCAATGTAATATTTTATAATGCAAATGATGCTAATACTGTTTAATGATACAATCAGGATATGGATCAGTTACAGATACTAATGAATATAACCGCATCTGGTCTACAAAGCGAATCATTAGTTTGTTGTCAAACTGGGGAATTAGCAAACAATGCAGTATGCCCAGATTCATTGGGTAATGAAAATGTTGACGAAAAATTTGTGCTTACGATTTATTGTAAATAAGTTATCAATCTACCTATAGTAATAAAATAGAACTGAACATCTATTTTAAATGCCAATCTACTGTTTAATGGCGATTCTTTTAATAAAATGACTGGAGCAGATTTTGAAGCCTGTCAACCTAAGATTGAGCATTTGATTTTATGGCCGCGAACTACTCCTGGTTCTAGTATTCAGCTTTCTAAATGCAGTCAATATTATGGTTTGGATAAAGTCAAAGGTAGTTCAATTTTGATCCAACTGCCGTGGAACATCAGTTATCTGGTATTCTTAAAGAGGAAAATTGGATGTCTAAGTCTGCCTTGATATATTTCCGTATTTAGGTGATTTGTATCGGTGGTGCCAATCAACATTAACGAATTCTTCTATATGGTCGCCAGTTAATGACTGCCATTGCTATTCAGAAATTGTTCCAATAGTTTACGAAAGGGTATATGCGATGAAAAACTTAAATGTAAACAGTAATACTGAGAAGTAATCAAAATATTAATAATTCGTTTATATCTTGATCGTGTGTTGGTAACAGNATGATCACAATAAAAAGCAAAGATTAT